CAGGTGAGGATGAAAGCAAGACCCAGCATATCAAACAGCTGAAAGCTGCCCTGGGGGTCCTGGGTGGGGCTTAGAGCCCTCCTTCCGATTGCCCCCAGCCCTCACAGCCATGGTCCTGGAGCTGGTGCGATGCCTGGGAAGGCAGGCAAGTAGACTGGGGCCATCAAAGTTCGTAGACAGGAACCTCAGGGAGGTTAAGCAACTTGCTCACAGCCACACAGCTGGAACAGAGACACTGGCACGTGAACCAGAATCTGAATTTGTCCTCGGGCTGCTTCCACCCTTGGCTGCGGCTGCTCGGTGGCCTTCAGAAAGCCCCAGGCACCTGAACTCGGGGTTCCCCAGCCCACCACCCCTGGCACCCACCTACCACCCACCTACCTGGGGGAGCCCCTTCTCAGCCAGGGCCCAGCCAGGCCTGCTCCTGGTCCACCCTCTCCCTGACCTCCCGACCCTCCCTTGGGCCCCAGGCTGGGAAGACTGTGTCCTGGCCCAGCTGGCCCGATGCAGCTAATCTCTGGAATTGCCGAGGCTCTGGGCTGGCCTGTCTGGGAAAGGAGCTCTGGGCCGCGACCTAGAGGGGACCCCGTTCCTGCCACCTCCCAACCCAGACCCACCAAGCCTCTTGCCTGGCCTCAGGGGGGTCGCAGGCCGGGGGGACACATTCTCCTTCTGGCTGGCGTCGGGTCTCAGCTCCATGGGCTCAGGGCCAAGCCAGGTGGCAGCAGTGTCGCTGCTCCACACCACAGCCAGCAGCCTAGCTGACCGGACGAGATCTGTGGGAGGAGGACGGGGTGCCCTGGCTCCCACCAGGCCACACCCCAGCCCTGGCCCACAGCCTGCCCTTCACTGGCACCCCTGCTGCCCTCCGGCCCAGCCCCAGCTGTCCGGGTCAGGCCCCCGTGGGGTCTTCTCACCCTGCTTCCAGGCCACCCCCTGCTCTGCCCCAGGAGGGGGTGAGGCTCTCTTTGTTTCCTGTCCCCACTCCCCCATGTCCTCCCTCCCTCCTCCCTAATACCCTGATTCCGAGCCCCAGGTGCTCCATGCAGGAAGTCGCCCCTCAGTCCATGGAGATTCCAGCTGCCGGCTCACTGAGACTTTCTTTCCTTTTTTTGTGTTTTTTAATGTATTTTTATTGATTAAAGAGAAGAAGGGAGAGGGAGAGAGAATCATCGATCGGCTGCCTCCTCCATGCCCCCTACTGGGAATCGAGCCTGCAACCCGGGCATGTGTCCTGACCAGGAATCGAACTGTGACCTCCTGGTTCATAGGTTGACGCTCAACCACTGAGCCACGCTGGCCGGCCGGGCTCACTGACGCTTTCTTCACTCAGCTGTCTAAGTTCTTGGTGAGCTCACCATCCACATGGACTATCCCCCCGACTCCTGGCCTGTGGGGTCCTTGACCTTCTCCCCTCCCACCATCTTGCCCTTCACCCCACCTCAGCCACCAGCTCCCATGATCCCCCCAGGTTTTGTCATCCTAAATACCTGCACTCCTCCATAATTTTCGTCTTTCCAGCCCATTCCTCGAGTGCCCCGATCCCAACAGTCTTTCCCTCCAGGGACGCCCTCCCCGCCGCCACCCCATCACCCTTGGTCTCTTTTTGCTCACTGATGTCTCTCTCCCCTCCTGCGCTTTAACCAGGATTACAGCCATCCCTTCTGCACGCCCTCAGCTCCTTCTCTCCGGCCACATTCACTCAGTGAAATCACCAGGCTGGCGAGAGTGGCTAAAGAAACCCCTGAGGCTGCGCTGTGGCCTCCTTCCAAAATTACAGCCTTCTCCCCTCCTCTCCACCCTCTTAGACACTAACTCATATCCCCCCCCCACCCAGACCTCTGCCGCCTCTTCTCCCCACACCCCCTTCAGCGGACCTATTGCCCCCACCAAACACGGCCATCAGAAGAGACATGCCACCAGCTCCCCACCAGCTCCATGTCCACTGCCTCTCCTGCCCCTCCGCCATCCTGTGTGGTCCCATCCCCAGCCAGACCCTCCCCCAAGCTCTGGGTACCATCTGTCTCCCCAGCCCAAGGGCAGCTCCCAGGGCCATCACCAGCCTCCAAGATGCCATTCTCTGAACCAGGAAAAGGAACCACACTGCCCACCCCCCACAGCTGACTCAGCCACACACAGGGCACCGAGCCTGGGGGGAGGGACACAGGTCCCCTCCCCCATCATTTACACTTCCCCCTTCTTCACTGACTCACTCCCATCAGCACTTAAACCACAAGCAAACACACCAAAAACCCTCCCTCTCCAGCCTCCAGGCCCCAGACCACTTCCCCCTCCTCAT